AACATTTTAAAAACTTAATTGCTAAAAATCCAATACCAGCTTGTGTGGTAGTTTTTTCAAGACTGAAAACGTTTTAAATTAATTTTGTAAACATAAAATATAACCTGCGGCAATGTCATCGGCATCTTCCTTTTTATTTATTGTTTTTTCTCTTTTCTCCATTATTCTTAGACTCTCCAGCGTGTACCTAGTTATTTCCCTTTTCTCTTGGTCTATTATTTTTGTGTTTTTAAAATCAGCTGTGTGTCCACTGGTTACTATGTGTTGTGCGAGTGCTGTGTTTGTATTTCGTTTTTTTATATCTGCTTCGTGTTCTGCTAGCCGGGTACCTAGAGCTCGTTTAGTTGTTCCAATGCAAGAATGATATACAAGATTGGGCCGTCCTGGGCGTTGACATTTGTGTACCACAAGTAAACAAAGAATGGAGCGAAAAGAAGAGCGAGTTGAAACTGCCAAAGCAGTTCACTTTACAGCGAAAAACGTGTTTAAAATTTGTTAAATGTGAAAATATTGCATTTTTCACCTAATCTATTAGAGAACAGTGAACATTTTAGTGCACTCCATTGCTTTGCAATCTGTGGGATTGATTAGTTAACTTGCTAATGGAGGCTGCGTGGAGCAGAAACAAAATCATTGCGAGGAAATGCTGGTAATATAATAATAGAGAAACATTTCGCAACGGCTTTGCCGTGCCCTATGTACACAAAATGCAGCGATTCGTCCCAGCGCTACACTTGCATCTACGCTTCTTGCATCTTGACGGCTGTCGCAATTTAGCACACAGCATTTCGTTGTATTAGTTTTTACGCAGTCCTCAACTCAAAAATCACTCACAAATTGAAAATTAATTAATTGATTTGTAAACAAAGGTTTATTTACAAGTTACCACAACTGTCAAAATCGGCACAATCAAAGTAGCGGTACCACTGACGGCGCCACCTTTGTTCGCTGCATCGTGGTTCCAATGTACACCTTGCCACAGGCTTCGATTTCGTTGCCTTTACATTGTATTTCATACACAACATTGCTTTTCTGTTGGGAGTCAATTGGGCTTTTTGTTTTTGTATAAACTGAGGATAAGGTGGAGTTTGATTTATATGCAAAAGTTATGTTTTGTGCTTTGGCTAGTTGGTGATTGCAGTTTTCGCTTAACTTAGGTATGTAGGTAACGCTGTGCTATTGTTTTGCTGTATTTGTTGCTTTTGAGATTTCTGTTTTATTTCGGTGTCTATTTCCATTAATTTTTGTTTTAATAGTTCGCGTACTAAGTAGTCGGGGTAGTTGTTGGTTTTCAAAATTTTCCTTATTTTGTCTATGTTTGTTGGGTGAAATTTAGGATGGCTAATTGTCAGTATTTTATATATAAGGTTTTTGGCGGTGTTAATTTCATATTTGGTGGGTTGCGAAGAGTAGTAATTATTTAGGCGTCCAGAAGATATAGGTTTAGAATACCAATCTAGTATAAGGTTGCCATTTCCTCTAAAAGTACGCGCATCTAGAAATGGGATACTGGCATTTTCTTCCATTGAATTTTGCTGTGATATTTGTTTAGACTTTTTAGAATGATATCCACGTCGTTTCTTTTAATTATCGCAAAAATATCGTCCATATATTTGGTAATGAATTTAATTTCAATGTTGTAGTCGCTTTTGAGCTCCGAAAGGGTATTGTCCAGTAGATCATCCATGATGATATCAGCAATCGTTGGAGAAAGAGGGTTTCCCATGGGCATTCCGAAAGTTTGGGTGTAGAGTTGTCATACATAAAATAATTATTGTCTTTGGGGCAAAAGTCTTGAATGGTTTGAAATGTATGTTTAGGAATCCGCGTCATATTTTTAATTTGTTCCCATTTATTCATAATAACCCTGGTTGCTACATTTACCGGTATATTTGTAAACAAGGACACAACATCAAACTACACTAACATCTCTCTTCACGCACACAAACATTTGTCAACATATCTTTTAGTTTAAGGGAATTTTTGACGTTATACTTTTCGGATATCACAGTCTTTAGAATTCCTCCAACGAATTTGGACAGCTTATAACATGGGACTTTTACAGACGAGACAATTAGGCATAGAGGGATTTCTGGTTTGTGTATCTTTGGCAACCCATACATTTTTGGTGCAGTAGCGGCGGTGCTGGCAAGTTGTTGCTTTTCTTTAATGCTTATATATTTGTTTTTGTAGAGATCGTCCACTATATTGTAGTTTTTCCTTTGCAGAGTGCTTGTTGGGTCTATTCTTGTTATTTTATACGTATTTCTGTCTTCTGGTAGGTTGCTCATTTTCCCCAAGTATTCGGAACGGTACATTGCTACTGTCTTGTTTCCCTTGTCCGCGTCGGTAACAATGTCTTTGTGTCGTTTGAGAAACGTATTTGTTGCATTGAATGCTGCTAAAATGAATTTTTCGGCGGAATTGTGTTTAACGTTTAGTTTGAACTGCAGTATTCTGTTACTGAGTTTATTTCGCGCTATCGCTTTTTCTTTTTCATTTTCTAACGACTGTATTATTTGTTCTATTTCAGCTATTACATGTATGGGTGAGAAGTTTTTCTTCGTTGTTGGTAAAGCGAATTTCTTGCCGAGTGAAAGTAACCACTTAACTTCATCCGGAAAATTAATGTTGGTCTTGTTCACAAACCAGTTTTTGTTAACATGAATGCCTAATTTTCGCATCTGCTCGTATTTTAATCTGTCTATTTTGGACATTAGTGATGCTTCTTTCGCTTTTGCTGTTCTTTGGTCTAAAAAGTACTGCTTCCTGATAAAAGCATTGAATTCTGATTCGCTAATTGTGCGCTTTAGTTGTTGTTTTAATGTTCATGTTAGTCTGGGTTCAATATATAATATTTTTAAGAGGAAATTTCTTTTAACTCTTTCCAGATTATGTGCAATTTTTTCGGATGTGGTGTTAATTGTTATATTCCTAATCGAATTTTTCAGGCGCTGTGGGGTTAGGTAATATCTTTTGCATTCCAATAAGAATTTTAGTTGTTCGGTATGTCTTGCTAGTTTCTGCTTTTGTTTGCTAAAAGTTTTAAAGTAATGCATGTGTGTTCTCCATGTTTGAATTTCATGTGCTTATAGAAATCCTTCATCTTGCTATGTTGTAGTTATTGCTGGTATCCAAAACCAACAATTTATTCCGCCAGGCCTTCCGTGATTGTACTAGTTATTGTTATTTCCGATCGGTTTGTATATGTTTAATAAAATTTCCTTTATAGGCTAGTCCGATCTGATTATCTCTAGTGCAAATAAAACAAGTTTATCCCACTATTACAGCCCAACGTTTCGCTAAACTTATTAGCATCATCAGGGGCGCGTTGTTTATTTTTGTATATTACAGCCATAAATACAAAATATAAAAGGAACATTAAAAGCAGAAAA